TTCCTGGCGGCCGGCGCCTTCCTCCGGCCCGCGAGCCTCCTCATCCTCCCCCTGCCCCGAGCCCCACCTGAGCCCTCCCCCAGCCCCCCCGAGCCGCTCTAGAACCGCCCGTGTGACCCCAAAATGCGGCCCTGGCTCTCGTCCTTTGGGGGGGCAGGGGAGGGGCGGTTCTAGGTGCACCAATGGGGCGGGATTTGGGGGAGGGGAAGGTCAGAGGGACCCCCAAAAATTTGGGGGGGTGTGGGGGTGTTCTAGATCACCCAACCGTTGGGGGGGTCAGTTCTAGGTCACTCATTTGAGCTCCCCATTTTGGGGGGATTCAGTTCCAGGTCACCCAAGGGAGCTCCCCAATTTTGGGATCCCTAATTTTGGGATTCTTAATTTTGGGGTCGCCAATTTTGGGATCCCCAATTCTGGGGGAAGATTTGGGGCGGGGTCGGTTCTAGGTCACCCAAATAAGGTTTGGTTCTAGAAGTGAATTTGGGTCAAACCAAGACTTTATTCCATTGGCTGCTGCCTGAGGAGGGGGTGTGGCTTTGCTGAGAGGGCGTGGTTCTGCTGAAGGGGTGTGGTTTGCCGAGGGGGCGGGGCTAAAGGGTGGAGTGTTTGGGGGGAGGGGTCCGGGCGAGCTTCTCGGGGTTGTCCGAGGCCATCAGGGAGATGTCGCGGAAGATGTCGAGGTAGGTGTCGTCACCTGGGGGCGGCAGGGGAGGAGACCCCCGAATTGGGAGCCCAAAAATCAGGGATCCATCCCAAAATCCAGAGATTCCACCCCAAAACTCTCACGTGAATCCTCCAAAATCCGAGACTCCACCCGAAATTCCAATCCCTCTTCCAAGGCCACCCCAAACTTGAGAAATCTCCCTGAGGATTGGAGGAGCCCCCCACCAAAAACACCACGGGACCCCCCAAAACTCCACCTCCGATGCCCCTCAGGACCCCCCCAAATCCAGGGATCCCCCCCAAAATCCCAGAGACCCCCCCAAACCTACTGGTCTGTCCCTGGGCCACCTCCAGCTCTCGCATCTTGGCCAATCGCAGCCTGTGGGGGGATTTGGGGTCAGATTTGGGGGGT